ATCTCTGTCCTGGAGCATCTGTTGCTGGAGGAGAGGGATCGTTTTCAGCTGCTCATCTGTGTCTGCTGAAAGTCATCCCATTATGGAAAGAAGCTCATGGGTGAATATCAGAATATTCTCCCTTACAATTCATGCTCTCTTGTTGGTAAAATTTCTTATCCTGTTGAGTACTTTATTAGTCAGATTGTGGGCTATACTGGCAATAGCTATGCTGATATATAGATCCTAGCAAAAATGTATGTGGTAGGAAGGGAATTTCATGTCTTGAGTGCTAAGGTGCTGGTGCAATAGTGAGGATTATATACTGGGGACAGAAGGGAAAAGCATGACCCTTGGGGAGACATAAACGGGTCCATTTAGTGGTGCAGATCCCCATGGGGACATGTGCAGATCCCTTCATGCTCTTGGTCATCTGAGTTTGATCAGTGCCTGGTTACTGGAACTTGCTTTAGGTTTACTCAGAGTGAAATAATTATAAAATTGTGAGTAAATTCTCAGATCTGTTAGATTTGATTTTCTTTCTTCCTTGTTAAATGTTGCAATTTGTGCATAGATGAAAGTGTAATGATAGCAAAGACTCCACAGCTTGCTTTGTGGAGAGTTTTGGTGATAATTAAGCTACTTTTTCTCTAAATCAGTGAAAAGTGATCAAACGAAACTCCTTATTGCTGTATTTAGGTTCAGAGCTTAGAACAGAGCAAAGAGCATGACTTGTGCCTGCAGTTTGTTAGCAAACCAGCTGGGCTGGTTGTTTTGGAAGGGCTCCTTCACAGCAGAGCTCAGGCTGTGTTTGTGCTGCTGATCTCCGTGTGCCCCTTCCCAGTCAGGATGTGTGTGAGTGGGAATTTGCTATTTGTGCAGACACTCGTGTGCGTCTCCTCTGCCTTGGGGTTCTTGGGCCTAATGGCTCTCTGATCTTCTCCTTTTTTTTTTTCCAGCAAGATTCAATGAACAGATATGGGGCCCTCAGTTCCCAGCACAAGATCCTGAAGGTAAGGGAAGAGCCTCATTCTTGGTGACTGTCATCTCTGCCCTCAAGACCATACACTGGAAGGAAAGTCAAGGATTTCGCTTCCAAAGGATCTTTACATGGTCTTTGATACTGATTTTTAGATACTGTAGCCTTTGTGTTTTGACCCCATGAGGCAGCTCTGTCGCTCACTCTTATCTTTCTCCATTAGACCCATTGTCCCCCACTCAGTGCCCTTCTCTGTTAACGCATTTTCTGTGCCCTGATAGGGAGAAGCTGCTCTGGAGGGTATTGCTGCTTTAGAGGAGGCACCTTGGTGGCTCTTTGGGCCTCAGGGAATTTGTGCTCTGTGCCTGCTGAATTCAGGGCTTCACCAGATCCTGAGCGTGTGGGAACGCTTCCATCTTGGCATTTTTACACATGAGTTTGCACCATTTCCTTGGGAAGTGTGAGCCTTCAGCATCTCTGTGCTTGAGCAGGCGCTTGCAAAAAGCAATCCAGCCTGCAAGGGGCAAGGGGCCTGGCTCTGGCCTAAAATAGCAGCTGCCTGGGTCTGCTTCCTGCTGTGGCCAGGCTTTATCTTGTTATGATTCTTCTCATTATCTTGAGTGGAGTTTGGAAGTGGTTTTTTTTTTTTTTTTTTTTTTAATATCCTCTTCCTGCAGATTTCAGGCTAGCATTCCCTGGATATGCAGACAGGGAGAAAGCTTTAAACTAAAGATTTGTTGGCAAAAGCTTCCTAAAATTGCTGGAATCTAATAACTTGCAATGAGATGTCCCCTCTCTTTGCTCATAGCCTGAGCATCAAGATCCTCATTGCATTCTGTAAAATGCCATCTCCAGAGCTGCTCTCTAAATCAGGGCAGAATTGGGTGTTCTTGAGGGATCTCTTCCCAGCTCCCCAGGCTTCAGTGAGTTAAAGCTGCTGCATTATTAAGACACATTAGGCACTGCGTGTTGTCTGTAAGGTGAGTGTGGAAGGGGAGGACTCGCTGCCCTGAATCCATGTGGCTGAGAAGCGATTCACAATTTCCCTAGGATTAACTGACTTAAAGCATTGCAGAGCACTGGGCATGAGGTGTAGGGAGGCGCAGAGTAAAATGTCTTTAGAGGATGTTCTCTCTGTCTTGCCTCAACCCAGTTTTGCATATATATGTGATTGCCATGACATTTGTATCTGAGCCTCTCACTGTCTCTGCTTGACTGAGCAAAACAGCATCTCTCTGAGGCAGAGAAGGGAACTGAGTCACACAGTGACGTTGCATTCGGATGAGTATGTCTGCATATGGCAAAGAGCTCCCTGGATTCCTCGGATTTGCCAAAGTACTTGGAAGAAATAGCGTGGTAGAAACGATTGGGCTGAGAATGCTCTGCTTGTGGATAGGCTGCTGCTCTAAAAGGCAATCATATATAACGTGTCTTGGGTCTTCTGTTCAACAATTACAGCCAAACTCGGCATCTCTAGACTCATTCTCACGTTTGCATAAGTTGTCACAGCTATTTTTAGGAAGTGGCTGGGGGTGAGGATGCCCCGTGTGCTCGATGAGCTGGACTTGGATGCGTTGTGTGACCTTGGTTGAGACACTCGTCTCCACGGCTTCCTGCCGTGCTCGAGGATGACTCTCCCTTCCCTGCTTTCTGGCTGTGAGCAGTCTGCTCCTTATTGAGACACGAAGTGCATCCCGTGCCAGACAGGATACAGGCTACAATTAATTGACTTGAGTTGAAGAGGACTTAATATTCCTCAGATTTGCTTATGGTTTCTTTAAAAAAAAAAATTGCTAATATTGGTGCTAATATTCTCTGAAGTGTTTGGTCTCAAAATGATATTTAAGGTTATGGCAGGGGACCCTTCTGCCTAAGGTACTTGCAGCTCTTGTAAGAGCAAAATGTCTTTGAAAGCCAGAGCAAAAGTCATTTGTAATCTCTGTGTGGGGGGGTTATGTTTTTTTCCTCCTGATCTTGTGATCTGATTAACCTGACAGCCTTGTCTCTCCTTTTTGTTCTTTTTCTGAGAGCCCTCCACAATGAAAGCCTCTTCCTCTGTGCCGTGTGTATTTTTGGAGCACAGTGACTTCTCTTTCCTCCTTTGAGCTGAGCTTTTTGCTCCAGGGCAGAGTGCCAGGGCCACTGGGCCTTTGTTCTACTGGGGCTAAATGCAAGCGCTGGTAGCACTTAAAGGTTTTTAAAGTAGTTAGATATACAGGAGAGCAGCCTGTGCTGTAAGGAGCTGTTGTCAGGAAGGGTGAGGATTCACCTGTGAGCCAAGCAATCTGCAACCAAACTGTGTTGACAAAACAACCTGGAAGGACCCTGTGTGTTCTCAGGGGAACCCAACAGGAGGTGAGTTCTGGTTCAGTGGAGTTGGGTAAAAAGATGTCTCAACATGTTTTGTTCTCAGGCAGTATGAGGGGACAGAAGAGAGCTGCTGTTAGCAGATGCCTTTGCAAAACAGTCTTGAATTTAGGTCTTGGAAATGCTTTACTTACTCCTCTTTGCTTGTACTGACTCTGTCACTTCCTCTTCCTCATGCAGAACCAGCATGAAGATGTCAAGAAGCAGCTGCTTGACCTGCAGCTACAGCACAACAGTTTGAAACTAGAACATCGTAAAACAGTGGAGACCCACAACCAGAAATATGCCCAGCTGCAGCAGGAGAAGGACAGCGAAGTCACAAACTTGCAGGGTGAGTATGGCAGAGAGCTGTGAAAACACTCAGCAGAAAAGGGGCTGAGAAGAACGGAGCTCAGGAGAGGAGGGTCTCTTCTCCAGACTTCCAAAGGTTTGCAAGCACTGTAGGAACACTGTGTTTCAGGCCGTGTGTCCTGGTCCATTTGAATTTAAGGGAAAATTTCTTGACTGTGAGGATAACAGTGCTGGAGCAGGTTGCCGAGTCTCCTTCCCTGGAGTTCTTCAAAACTCACCTTGATCCTGTGCAATGTGTTCCAGGGGACCCTGCTTGTGCAGGGGTTTGGACCAGATGATCCCCAAGGTCTGTAATAATTCAGTGATGCTGATTTTTTGCTGTTCAGGATGAATGCTGTAAAAAGATGCACTACTGTAATTAGAAATATGTACCATCTTGAGCTGCAATCTAATTTACAATTCAGCCTAAAGCAAAGTGACCATCTTGTGATAGAAAAATACCCCTCCTTGTCATGGTGGTCTGCAGAGAAATCCCAATGCACACAGGGCAGTTCTAATTATGTTTTTAAGAGAGCTTCAGACTGACAGTTTTGATACAGTCTTCCCCCTTTCCTGGAGGATACAGAAGTATATTCAAGGCATTGAAATTTAAGTTTGTGTTTCTTGCTATTCGAGTGCCATGAAGCATGCAAAGAGCTTGGAAGGACCAGGAGCTTCTGGGCATACGTTTGCTGCAAAAAAAAGGGTAGAAATTAATGCCCCCAAGAGCAGATTGTGCTGTGATTGCTTTATGTAGGCTTTTTGTGGCCTCCTTTCAGGACGCAGTTCCTTAAACTCCAACTCCCAGGACTGAGGTGTCTCTGACACTGTCCATTGCTGTCCTTTCTGTTCAGCTGCAATGGATGAGAGAAATGGAGAAGGAACAAATATCTGTTCCTGAGAGAAGTGCTGTCAGTAATAGCAAGTGTAACACACTGATCCTCCAGAGAGGAGGAAGCTTCTCAGATGGGCAGAAATCCTGAAGCCTTGAAGGCAAAGGGACTAAGGGGAACTTGTGTGTTTGGTCCTACCTACTGCTCTCTGATAGTGGCTGGACTTGGAGCCCTAAGAGGTCCAGAGGGTTTTATGAGAAGGGAGAAAGATGCTGTGTTTGCAAAAATAGATCTTTTAGCACAAATTCTTTCTTTTGTTGCAGATACAGTCTTCAAACTCAGAGAAGAGAGCAAGCTTCTCCGGAAGGCCCACCAGGAAGTTCACTCGCAGCTCCTTAGCTCCCAGGTCTGACAAGAGCATGTCCTATGTGACAAACATGGGGCATGTCATGCATGCATCCTCCTCTTCCCAGGCATAAGTAACAATTTACTGTATTCCAGTGGGATAATTTATTAAAAATTGTGATATGAGCAGTGTAGGTGCTTTCTGAACCACTAAAATTGTCCAGCTTAGAATCTGTCTCAGTAGCTGAAAATACAGATATGATACAAGAGTCACAGAGTTCATATGGACCCAAACAAGCTTCTTCCTGTTGCTTGCATCATATTTCTGTTCCATCCTAAATGATGGTGGATTGTCTCTGTTCATGGCTACGAAACTAATTGCAAAATTAATTCTTGTGCAAAAGCTATACTAATGACAATGCTGTAAACAGTGTTGCTCAAAGGACTGATGTCGGGTCAGTGTTGCCAAGGTAAAAACATGATAAAACAAGATACAAAACTGGCAAAGGTGCAGCACAGAACATCCATGAATCTGCAGAGACAGCTCAGCCTTGCTTGGGCTTGTTACCATAATGGCTGTGCATTTCCCCCTTCATTTTAGTAGGGCTTTTTTGTAGACGGGTGCTGAACAACTGCCCCAAAAAGCATCAGCAAGGAGTGGTTTAACCTGTGTGCCCTGCTTGTCCTCACAGGCCCAGCTGGAGGAGTTCAGGCAGTTCAAGGAAGTGCTGCAGAAGATGCCAAGCTTCAAAGAAGTAGGAGCTGGGAAGGAGCAGGAGCAGAAGGAGCAGCCTCCAGTACCGGGCAACAGCCCATCACAGCTTGGGTGGCAGAAGGTGCAGTATTCCCAAGGGAGAGGGACTTTTTTGAATTTTTGTGGGTTTTTCAGAGCCAGGCTGTGAACCAGAGGGTTCACTCTCCTCCTCTCTTCCTTGCAGGCTTTTTTGGTCCATCAGGAGAACCTCCGCGCTGGGAGCCTGCAGGGAGCTCATGTCCCGGGGCCTTTGCCGCAGGGCCAGGACTTGCCCGGCAGCGCGAGCCCGAGGCCGCGGCGTGACGGGCTCCTCACCCAGGCAGCCCCCGTGCGAGACGCGCGCGCGGCTGCGCCCGCCTGGCCGCCGCGGCCCAGGGATGCCCCCGTGATCCGCTTCACCCGCACCGTGAACAGCCTTCCCAACGGGAATCCGGTATGTTCTGCCCAGCCCTGCTCAGACCTGTGGTCTTTCTGGCGATTTGTCTGTGGATTCTGCTTTCTTGGTCTGGAGCTGCCCTGGCCTGGGCGCTCCTGAGTTTGTGATTCAGTGACCCGAAAAAGAGGGTTCTTGGTCAGGATCCTGCAGTGTCTGCACATTGCAGAACCTTGCTGCCTCTGGGGCTGACTGTGAGAGCACAGCAAATCCCTACAAAATGGTGGTATAATTGCTGAATGGTTAGACTATAGTTATTAGCAATTATTACAATGGCATTTTTTAAGAGATAGCCCTGCTTTTGCTTTCTGCCCCTTAGGGATTTGCCTACCCAAAAGAGATGAGCTAAATGATCCAAGTGATTTCTCCTTAGCTCTGTGGAAGAAGGAGCTTCATTTTTTTTCTGCAGGCTGGCCAGACAGGGCAGTTTTTGTTTTCTGGAGCACTTCTGAGCCTATTTTTCCTCTCAAAGGATCTCTGCCAACACAAGGGGGTTTTTGTTTTCTGGAGCACTTCTGAGCCAATTTTTCCTCTCAAAGGATCTCTGACCTGTGAGCCTGCCAACACAAGGGGGAATCTCTGAGGATGTGATGCAGTTAGGAGCTTGTGTATGTCCTGAGTGTGTGTGTGTCCTCTGTGCAGGATGTCAGGATGGTGCTGCGTGTCCAGGGGAGAAGCAGCAAGGAAAGCAAGGCGCCTGGACTGGGACTGTCTGACCTGAAACACCCGTCTGCATCGGAAAAGACTCGGGTGTCAGAGAGCCAGCCCTTGGCAGGGAGCAAACGGGTGCAAGTGCGAAGGTTGGTGATGCAAAATTCCCTTCCACTCCCAGGGGATGAAATGCCCTGTGTTTAGCACACTGAAATGCCCTGCGTTTAGCACACTGAAGATATTTTGCATAATGGCAGCCATCCATCAGCAGCAAGGGGGACTAAGGAATGCCTTGAGTTACTCTAAGAGGCACTAATTTGTGTATTAGAGCTGAGACTTGTTCATGGTTTTCCACTAATCAGTAATCTGTCAGGCTCTGCAAGAACAAATGGAGCTTGAAGATTTGAAGGTCTGTCATCTTCAAGCTATAGGGTAATGTAGAAGCAGCAGGCAGCCAGGGTGTTTGGCACATGATTTCTGCAAGGGTGGGCACCCCAGAATGGTGTGTTTGGTGTGCTTTTTACTTAGGCCAAACCACCTTGGTTTTACTTGGTAGCATTTTTATTTTTAATAAAGATGGAACATAAAGAAGACTTCTGTCTTATTTTTTTTTCCCAAAACTCTGATTTATGTGTTTGCATATATGCAAGGTATGAGTCAGTATCCATTTAGAATTGCTGTTTATTGCTACATGGGCACATTATCTTAGCACATGAATAAGAGATTAAAGTAGTTCTGATAGTAAATTGCATTTATAAAGCATAATTTTGTACTTATGTGGCATATTAAATGTTCCGTTTCATGCAGCAGTCAGGGTAACTAATGCAATCCACTAATTTTGCCAGAAGCAGTAAATGAGCCCAAACTCCTGCATTCATTGGAATTTTTATTTGCTTGCCGTTATGAAATGCTGTTTTGAAATCTCCTAGGCGTACTGAGATGGGGACGTCCTGTTTTTTCTCACCTTTGTTGCAGTTGGCAAGACGTAGTGAACAAAGTGAATGCCCAGCTGGATGAAGAACAAGTAAATGGTTACCAAAAGAGCCTTCGTTTCGCCCCTGGGCCTGGGGAAGAGATGCAGAAGGGCAGCCCCCAGCTGCCCAGCTGGACTCAGGGTGCAGAGCTTCAAAAAGCTGCTCAGGAAGGCAAGAAGGGAAGGACAGAGGAGGAGCAGGAGCTTGAGATGGGTAGGGCTTCCCTAATCTTATGCTGTACAGTCATGATTTTATCTTGGATCTTCTCTAGGAATTGATTTTATTTATTTACTTATTTAGAAGTGGGTTTATTTAGCTTATTCAAGGCAGAAAAATTCTCAAGTGCCCTTCAGAGAGTAAAAGCAAATAATTTCAAGCGCAGGTAGTTTGGGCAGTGAGTTTTATTTGTCAGCCAGCTGAGCTAGAAAGTGTGCAGTAAGTAACTGCATTTGGGCAACTGGAGCTCATTTAACATGTTGAACTGCTGCTCCTCCTGATGCAGCTCTGCTCAGAGCCCTGTGATAAGTCAGCAAATATTTCATTAAATGTTTTGCACTCAGTCAGTTAGTAACAGGAGGAAAGAAGCATTTGACTTGATATAAAGTGTGTCCTAAGGCCATGACACCAACTAATGAATAATCCATTAGTTAAGCTTGTGAGGGCTGAATCTCCCCCTTCCCAGGGGAGGCTTTTCCATTGGTAGTTAAGCTTGTGAGGGCTGAATCTCCTCACTTCACTTCCCAGGGGAGGCTTTTCCATTGAGCTGTGCTATGGGAATGGCAAAGTGAGGGAAACAGCAGAATGCCTGTTTATGCTTTGTGAAATAAAAGTCGTTAAGTTACTAGAGATGAAGGCCAGTTGTTTTAACTGAATTTTTGGATCAAAGGGGCAAAATCACTTAAGTTGGCGAAGAATATCCCAGGCTGTAGGAACAGGAGATTTCCCTCTGGAGCAGAGCTTTGGCTCTCCTGGGCTCACCCAGCTGTGCTCAGCTGCTGCATCGTGTTTCACTGACCCTGTTTTCAGCAAGTCCCCCGAGAAGAATTGAACTAATTGGCTCACATCAAAGTGAGTTTCCCCCTGCAATGAAATCGCCTCATGGCAGGGATGGGGGAGCATGAGGCCCAACAGCCCTTGACCTTCATGCCCTAACTGGAATTAACAACCAAAGTAATGTCTCAAGCCGTGCTGCTGGCCCATAGGGAGCACTGCTGTCTCACGGGCACCTTTAGTGTTTTGGGGAGAAGCATTTGGTCCCTGCTGATGATGGGCAGGGTGCCAAGTGCCAGAGCTGGCATGTGCTGGAATCATATCCAGTGCTTGAGGTTTGGGCCTTTCTGTAAGCGACAGACTTCTAAAAAAAAATAAAGACATGGAAGAGAAATTAGAACAGAAAACTGGCTCGTTTCTCCCTCATTAGAGCCTCCCCCCGCCTAGCTGGCAGTGGGAAGCAGTGTGTAAAGCTGGTGTTACTTGTGGTCGTTGGTCAAAGCTGGTATCACCAGCAACACTTCCCATTGCCTGTCCCGGGGTAGCTTTGCCATCAAGTTCTTTCCAAGGCAGCTCTGAGGCACTAATCTGGTCTGAACAGGAATGTGGGGAATCCTCCATCTACTTGGATTCCAGATCCGAGTCCATATCATTGATCCCTTAGGAAGTCTTTTATCCAGAGGATTCAGACTGTCCCTTCTTCTTGCAGATGCTGGAATGATTGAGAGAGAGGAGAACGTGCATCCCCAGAAAGAGGCTGTTGGCCAAGAAGCCGTGGTAAGAAACATTGTGTGCTGCCATCAAGATGCCTCCCAAGCTCTGAATAGGGATCCAGCTGTCTCAGCTGTTGGGCCCAAGGGGTCTAAGGGTACTGGAGGAGGCTGATGTAGCTGAAGAGAAGTGTGAAAAGAGATGGAGAAACAAAGGTTTCTGAATATAGTTGCTTAATGTCTATAGATCTGGTCAAATATCTAAGGCGGAAAGGTGGAGGGGTGCTACTCAGCTGCCGCCTCCCTAAGGAATGTCCTGCCTGGTGCTCACAAGAGACTTTTCCTGTCCAGGTGCCAGATGATGCCGCAGACCCTGCCCAGGATCCCAATAACCAAGGTGAAGATGAGTTTGAAGAAGCTGAGCTGGAAAGACCAGATTTGAAAGAGGAAGGAGGTTTGGAGAAGTCCCAGGAGCCCAGAATGAAGGAAGAGTCTGAGGAGGAGCCACCAAAGGTGACAAATCTGAGGACAGCTACTTCTGCAAGGGTAGGGTTCAGGGAGAGACCCACAGCAGTGAACTGGGGGAGGTAGAGGATTTAAGGATTCAAGGGAAAACATTGCTATTCCCGGAGGGATCCATAATCCCACTGCAGGGGTGTGACAAAGAGGAGAGAACTCTCTCTTGTCACCTACATCTGATTCCAGGCGATTCGTAGCCTTTGTAGCATTTACCTGGCTTGTGAGCTAACTTCTCTGTGAGCCCCCAGGTCCTGCTCTCTGTGAGTCATGAATTAGAAAAGCATTAATATTTCAGTCCTCACCAGGAAGGGTGGCTCTAAAGTCCTTGCCAGTTTCTACTGTTTTATCTTCAAATTTAGCAGCAGGACATAGCAGGGAGAGGGCTAGGACTTCTACTGGAGCTGGGCTTATCCATGACCACCGCAGAACATGGATGACTTCAGGAAACGGCTGCATGGGCAAGAGAGACCTCAAGCAGCTTGGGGCAGTGCTAGCAGTTTCCATGCTGTGTTTTTTCAGGATGCTGGCAGACCTGCGAAGGGAAGGGAAGACCCGATGGATGACTACCAAGAAGATCAGGAACAAGAAATTGTATGACATCAAGGGTTTTTTTTGTTCTCCCCTGTCTGGTGAGATTGCTGCCTGTGTCTGCTGGCAGCCAGGGGTCAAGTATGGATTGGCTTTTAAAAAACTAGATGTGATTGATTGGGTGATGGATGTTTCCAATTGAGTGTTTTGATCCTATTTTAAAGATTTTTAAGTCTGAATCAGGAGTTACATAAAGAATAGAACCATTTTTTTAAGGGTGGAAGTAGAAAGGAGCTGTTTTTCTGCATGTCTAAACTTATGGCCCCAGATGATTTCAACATTTAATGACACATTTGGCTTTAGGACAGTCTCCCATGGCTGGGAGTTGACTGAGCAGACACTACTCCCTCCCTTGCAGCCTGCAGAGCAACCTGAGTCTTTACAGCTTTCTTCTAGCAGCATTCAGGTGATAGCTCTGGTTCATGGTCCTCAAAAGAACATTCTTGTGTCCTTTGCATTTCCATTTCAAACAAGGCAAAAAATACCCTGGCAAAAAGCCCCGTTATTGGGGCTGGTGAGCACAGTTTCCAGATGATGAGCACAATTTCCCCTTCTCTTTGCTTGTCCCATCCATCTCCTGATGTATTTGAGAGCCAGGCACCTGAAAGCTGTGATGGCTGCACATGTGCTAGACAGGGTCACCCTGGTGCCTTGTGGCTCATCCACCTGGAAATGAAGGATCCTCTGCAGTCTCTTGAGTGCAGAGGACGGGGATGGTCTCTTTTCAGTGGTGGCCACTGATAGGACTAGAGGAAATGGCTGGAAACTGAAACATCAAAAATTCCATAGGAACTTAAGGAAAAATTTCTTAACAGTGAGGGTGACAGAGCACTGGAACAGGCTGCCCAGAGAGGTTGTAGAGTCTCCTTCTCTGGAGATCTTCAAAACCCGCTTGGATGCAGTCCTGCGCCACGTGCTCTAGGTGTCCCTGCGTATGCAGGGGGTTGGACTAGATGATCTCTTGAGGTCCCTTCCAACCCTAAGCATTCTATGATTCTATGATTCTAATCCCACTCCTCCTTTCCCTGTCTGCTGGCAGTGGCTGATGCTGGTTTTTCCTATGGTGGATTGAGGGTCTGGGCTGCCTGCTGGAAATGAAAAAGAGGTGGAGGAGGGAATAGCAAAGCTGGTATCAGGGACTGTCCTTGCCCTGTGCAAGAGGGACCTAAAAGTGACAGTGGAGACCGTGCTGAGTGCTGTACCATGGGTGGGGTTTGTTGCACTGCTTTTAAGCTTGGTGCAGTTAGGATATAGTATTCTATTTTTTTTTAACAGTGCCCACAGGCTATATTAAAGTGTGATGTAATGCTAGGATAGTAAATGTGGTCAAAGCTGTCGGTGTGGGCATGGCAGTGTGGGCTGCCAACCTCTGCTTCGTGGCGAAGCGACTCACCAGCCTCATCCAAAGGTCCCTGGCAGGGCTGGGTTCTCACCCTGCAGGTTTCCCTGGGTGGTTGGTGTGGAAAAACAGCCCCATCCAGCAGCAGCCCAGAGCTGTGTGTTAGTCTCATTTCCTGACCCTGCTGACTCTTCCCTCTGCACCCAGGAGGATCGTGGAGGTGAGGAGGACGACAACGATGACCTGGAGTTTGTTCAAGAGCGGAAGGACCGTGCGGGCATCCAGGGAGCTGCTGGCAAGAAGGACAACTACTACTGAGAGATGCTGAGGAAAGGTGGAACGTGCTGGAGCGAGGGGACGGCTGGAGGGGAACTCCCCCACGGAGCTGGCTCCGGTGCAAAACGCTGCCCACGACGGGCAGAGGCAGGAGGAGATGCTGCTTCTGCAGGCACTGAGCAGGCTGGGGCTGGGCCTTGTGTCTACGTGCGGGGACATCGCCCTGTCTCAGGGCAATGGTATGGAAGTGCTCTCGGAGTGTGGGAATGACGTTATCCTGCCGCTGCTCTCAGCAGCACCTCTTGACTGGTTTTCTTCTCTCCCTTGTTCTCTCCTTCCCCTCACAGCTGAGAAGAGTTTCTTATTTTTGACTATCTGTGCAGGGATTCAGGACTCTCACATCAAAGCAGGGCTGCCTGAACTGGTCCCTGGACTTACTTGACTGATCGCTATCACAGAGTGATCTGTCTTCATACAATATTTTGTTCAATATTTTTTTTCTTTTAAAACATCCTTTGCTTCCATCAGAGTAGGATGGAGAGGAGGGCAACCTAATTGATGTCCGGAGTAATGCAAGGGTGATAGCAACCACGAGCACCAGTAAATAATGAACATGTGCCAGCAGGGGTGTGCGTGCACGTGTGACTGGATCCTTTTCCAGGTTTGGAAGCCTTTCCCAGTCATTCTGTAGATCTCTTCTTTCCTGGGCTTTGCATCCATCACCGTCCTGCTGGGTCAGACTGAGGGCTCAGAGCCTCCCTGTCCAGGACTTGTCTTGATGTTGCCGTTGTACCCTGGGCTCCAGTAGATGTGAATTGGCCTGAGCTGAGCAGGGCTTTTCTGGGATGGGCTGGAAGATTCCCAAACAACTGTGAGCCTGCAGCACCCTCTGCAGGTCCTACAGCCCTCTGGGTCCATGGGACACTTATCCCGGAGGAAGAACATCCTAGGATGTGGGCTAACAGACCAGTGCTGGAATGAAGGAAGAATTTCCTGGCACAGCTGCCGGGCTGATCACTTAGCATTTTGGTGGTGTGGATGCTTCAAGCACGTCGTGGACACTGTTTGGGAAGGACCAGACTGACCTACTGCCTCACAATAAAAACTTTTTAAACACAAGCAGTGGGTGGCAGCAGGCATCTATTTGTGACAGGGCTGATTTTTATGAAAAATCCATGTCTAAGCAGCTGCAGCATCTCAGAAGAGCTGTCCCTCTTCTCAAGATCTCAGGAGAGGTGGTTTTTTCTTCCAGGGTTCTAATGGAGCTTGAAATTAAAATGCCATAGGATTTTTCAGGTTGTTTCTAGGTTGTTTTGTTGCCTTTTTTTTTTTTCTTGATCCTCTTTGTCTTACGAGCACAATCCACCATGTGAGCCAAACTCGGGGTAGGATGGAGTGCCCAAGCAGCGGCTTCCTGCTCGCCTGCCTCGGGAGCAGCAAGGACTCGTCTTTCCCAGCTGCTGCCCCTTGTCAGAGCTGGATAATAATGATGGATATGGAGTGGATCATCCTCTTTGGACTTCCCAGGCCTGATCCGCTGCTGTGCAGCGGCTCCCTGCTGTGCACGTCGGAGCAGTTGGGAAACGTCCTGCAATCCCGCGGGAGAACGCGGTGCCTCGGGGTGAATATTGACCCTGGGACACGGCTGTACCCAGGCGCCAGGCTCCGCTAGCCAAGCGGCGTGTCCTTGTGGCCGTCCCCTCAGGAGCCCGCCAAGGAGCACGCCGTGCAGCTATTAATAGGGGGAAGACATCTGATGTGACTTGCAATAGTTAATGATGTGTTAGAGCTGCATCATGCAACTGTTCAGTCCCTGCTGCCTGCTATAAATAGCCCTTTCAGAGCAGGATTAGCTGGAGGTGCAGTTATCTGCCCGGGTACATCCTAATCAAAAACTGCAATTCCCAGCAGGCAGGGTAGGATGTTACTGTCTCAGCTTAGTGTAGGACCAGGACCCAATATGGCCTGTGGCAGGAGTTTTGGATCTGCTGACATTCTCAGCAGAATCATCTGTCTGCTGCTTCCCTACACTCAGCTGAGCCTGTGACCATGAGCTGGAATAAGTAGGTCCAGACCTTACTGCAAGTGAACCAAGTGCTGGAAAGAGGCCCCCAGCGGGGCTGAGGCTGCATGTTGATTCAGAGAGACTGGGAGCTGTCTAAATTAGGCAAATTCTCAGCTTTTGCATGTCTGCGATGAGTAATCTTGGAGAATACAGCTCGGGGGCAACTCCAGCAACTCAACCCTAAACAAAGCTCCCTGCAAGGAGAAAGCTTTAGTGACCATATGCTGCATGCCACCACAGCTGGGAGCTGAGCATCTCTGCCGTGGATTTGCTGCCCTGGCTCTATCCAAGCCTAAGACTAGCACGGTGCTGCGGAGACTGTGGGTGCTCAGGATTAATTGATGGAATTATAGCAAGTTGCCCCCATTTCAGGACTATTTCCATGGTTCCTCTCGCAGGGGATGGAATAGGAAGCAAAATATTCAGTAGAGGAGCACTGGGAAAGCAGCAAACTTGTGCTGTGGGCCTGAAGGCCTCTAAAGGATGGAACAGGAACCTGCTCTTTTTCTGTTGGGCTCCATAACGTGCAGATGAGATTTCTGTAAACGCATCTCCAGAGCTCACGATGTCAAAGCATCAAGTGGCTTATGTGCATCTTTAGTCAGATGATGAGAATTAATAGTATATCCTGTACCCTTAGAAATAATCTTGCTTGCAGGGCATAGATTAGGCAGACATACAGCTATCAATTAGTTAAGACATCTGTGTTTAATGAAAACTGCTTCTCTGTAATCCACTCTCCCTTTGCTCGCAAGCCTGTTTAAGATTATTAGGTTCATTCATTTATATGGCATGTTTTAGGGCTTAAAATGTGAGAATTACCTAATAGGATTTTAATGAGATTTGTCCCCTCCTAAGACATCTGAAACAAATGGAGGAGAAAATGCCCTAAGCACTTAAACTGCACGAGTGACCCGTCTGCAGCACCCCGAACCACAGCTGCCCTCCGATTTATGTTTATACACACAATTTAAGAAAATAAACTCATTTCTAAAGAAGCCAGTGCTACTGCGGTTGTACTACTGCCTTGCATGACTGAACGCAAAGGGAAGAATATTATTCTCTGTTCCAATTCCTGTTTTTTTGGCAGCTATTTGAGGAAGATCATTGGAAGAGGCTTCTATAGCTTTCCATAAAACAAGGTATTCTTGGCTGGGACATTTTTTTTTTTCTCTCTTCAGCTTTTAATGCAGATGTGGAATGAGGCTAAATGATGGAGCACGTGCGACCACATCTGCACTGCGGTGCCAAACGTTGTTCTTCCCTGCACCAAATGCCAGACCCGTGTGTTGGCCTCTCAACAGAGGAACTTGAAGCACCTTGTGAATCATCAGAAAGTGCCACGCGCTGCTGGGGCAAGACCTGCCCGCCGAAACGAGCAGAATCTGCCCTTCGGAGCAGAGGGCATCGAACGAGGCTCGGGGGGCACCACGGACGTGGTTTGGCCCCGGATACTTCCCAAACAGCCGCACGCTGCAGGAAGGGCTGTCGGATCTTGATTTTCTGGAATGTCCACAGTGGGTTTGCTGCAGCCACCAAGTGCCTTCAGCAGCAGCTCCTGCCCTTGCTCTGAGATGACCAAGGGTTTGCTCTGAGGAAAGCCATTGCTAAAATGTTAGCGTTAATTCCTACCATAATCCTGTTCTGGTTCGCTTGTTTCTCCCCAGTGATGCCTTTTGGTACCTGCCAGTATTGAGAGATTTTTGATATCTGTCTTTATAGAAGCAGAGGACAAACAAACAAACAAAAAAACCCTTGGCTAAAACCTAGATGTGGAGATTGCTTTTATGAAATGATATTCAACATTGTGAAATTATGTTTAAACATTTTTTGAAGAAACTGCCTCCTCTAAAAAGGCAAATCTTTCAGACTGGAAAAGGAGTCTGGATGAAACCATTTGGTCGTGTTGATGTTCAACACGTCTCAACCAAAATCACTTTCAGATAGCCATGAATTATGCTTTGAATACATTCAAATAACAGCTTTAATGAAGTCTGTGGTGTATGTTTTGGGTTTGGCTTTTGTTTAGCCGTGTCTGTTAAAAACAGGCTCCAGGATCTTATTTTTGTTATATTCTCCTCTTATATAAGGCAATAAATACTTTTAATGAAAACTTACAAGATCTACAGAGTACTTTGTACCTCCGAATAGGTAACACAGCAAGGAAAGACCACGCCACCGCTTGGGATCTTTGCTGGAGTTTTAAAGATCCCGCGAAAACTCGGGTGTTTTGCAGCTAGTCTGGGAAACCGCCTTAAAGGATCAACCCTGTGATCAGTTCAGTGCTGAAGGGCCCTGCGAGATGAATCGAAGTGCGAGGGTGATCGCTTATTTCAAAAGGTAGGAAACTTTAGTGACAGAGAAGTCCTGAGCTTGGGACAGCTGATGTCTGTATGAAGATGGGAAACCTTCCCTCTCTACCCTATTATTTACTGTTGTTTTTAAATGATTTGTTTAGAGACCATTTCCCA